CCCACACACTTTCCCACACATTCACTTTTTATATTTTCTATAACATATTTCTCTCTCTCAACTTAATTATTATTACATCTAGTTACATTATCATATTATACATATTTGTCTTACTTAAAAAATTATATTATTTGTTGTTTGGCCATTATAGTTAATTTATAGATTATATTTAATTAACTTCCTAAATTAGGTTTAACGTTGTTTAAGGTTGCTTGATAAAAATTTTAAATATATTTAATTTTTATTTTGTAACACGGTTGATTTGTAATATGTTTTACCCTTTTTAAGTTATGTGTTGGAGTTATTTGTTTTATAGCTCAAACATAATAATAAATTAACTAAATGTCATTAATAATTAGTTCTATAATAATTTTATATTTATATATATATATAAGATCATTCTGATAATAATTTAATTATAATCTTATTTAATAATGACCTTTAGTTAAAACATCATCATGTTTGAACTAGTAAACAAACCATTCTTATTACATATAAAAACTACTAATAAATGTTAACCATATCAAATTTAATAACTAATTAATCTATGCAATAGAAGGATATTACATGATATTTGATTATGGTTATACAATTGATATTTTTCTACTAAAAAGTCTAACGAAACTTTGTAAGTAATTTTACTACTACTATATTTGTGCCGTTAAAAAGGGTTTTTTTGGGCAATTAGTTATTTGATTTGCCTGAAATTTACAATGAGACGTTATATTTTGTAAAAAGCACTCAAGATATTATCTATTGTAAATTTAAAAGATGAAAGTGTGTCATTAACCTTCATATACGTGATGAATTGTTAGCTATTTTGATGAATTGTGTCTTACATAAGAGATTGTTTAGCATAATAATTTTTGGGCTTTGTTAATGTTATATAAATACTCTAGTTCTTTTATACATATAAAAATATTTGACATTATTTTTGCATTTTGCCCAGGGCCCAATAATATTCAGGACCGGCTCTGATGCCGAGATTGATGATCCTCTTCGACGTATGGACGATCGGGTCCATTTGATGGACACTCGGGTGACCGATCTCGCCACGGGGATCATTGATATACATACCACTCTTACGACCATGTTACGAGATCAACAAGCATACAAGGAATTTGCCGGCAGGAGAAGTGGTCGAGGAAGTCAAAGAGGCGGCCGTTGAGGTCGTGGTTTTGGCGAGGCGCTCCGACAACCGCCACTACAGCCGGAGTTTGTCGATGTTGACATCGAGGATTCTTTTTTCGATGTCAATCTTTTTGCCCAGGGTTGTGATCCGGAGGGACAAGGTGACCGTCGCAACCCACAACGGAGGCCCGCGGGGGTCCGCTTATCTCGTTCTCCTCCCCGCGTAACGGACGATTTTTCGATCCTAGATCGTGCTGTTGTAAATCGCGAAGGTCGGCTCCATGTCGGCGCCGAATTCTGTCGTGATGCAGGTGGAGATTTTCAGCGTGTCGGAGTGCGTGCTTTCCGTCGCGCGGCTATTGGCGAGGATTCCTGCGGTTGGCCGCATCAGGGTCGCCGGAGACCTGCCAATTTAGAGGGTGATGGGGCTTAAGCTGATTTGAACGGGGGTGGGGCTTTTGGTAAAGGTCGGCGATTTCAGACTTTTGGAGATTTTGGTGAAGGTCGGCGATTTCAGAATTTAAGAGAGGACCAGCTTTTTGCAAATTTTGGGCATGGACAGCGCCTTGGGGATTGCGCAGGTAGGGATAATTTATTTAATTATCCATATGGGCGTGATATTGAAATTGGCAGAGGCAATATTCCTTTTCTTGGTTATGGGCGAGCTGCTGCTTTTGGTGGGCCTGGGCATGCGGCCCATTTTCACAGGCATGGGACTGAAGGAGATTCTAATAGTCGCTGGGAATGTTCTTTTCGCGTGGAAATCTTGGATTTTGCTGGCGGTTTAGACGCGAGTGAATTTCTTGATTGGTTGGCCGCCGTGTACCGGACGAGAGGTGAGCCGCACTTGTGGTCACTCGATTTCGGGGATGTGCGGCCGCTTAGTGGTTACAGTTACAGAGTGTGCGGCATCGACAGGGCAAACCGAAAATCACTTTGTGGGTGAAACTTCGTGAGTATCTTGAACGAGAATTTTTACCGTTTAATTTTGTCCGTACTTTATATCAGCGTTTGCAAAATCTTCGTCAAGGATAGCGTAGTGTGGATGACTATACTGAGGAATTTTATAAACTTCTGGCCCGGGTTGGTATTCGTGAAACTCAGGAACAGTTGATTTCTTGTTATATTGGGGGATTGCGTGTCTCTATTCAGGATGTGTTGAATATGTTTACTCTGACTTCTGTCTCTGAGGCACATCAGCGTGCATTATTGGTTGAGCAGCAGCAGGCCCAAAAATTGGGCGCTTCTTTTGCACCGTCTGCGAAAGAGCCTCCAGGGACTTCGGGTACTGCGCTGTCTGCGGCGAGTGTTCAGTTTGATATAGGTGCTCCATCTGAAGGTCGTGTGCTTGGCCCCACGACGAGTGGCACTCGGTAGTCTGGTGGGCCGC